GAGGGTTTTCCTTTAAGTCATAATTATAAGCTGTTTCCTTCAAAAACCTTTATTATGGGGGCACCTGGGTGGCTCAGTTGGTTGAGCGACTGCCTTCGGCTCAGGTCATGATCCTGGAGTCCCGAGATCGAGTCCCGCATCGGGCTCCCTGCTCAGCGGGGAGCCTGCTTCTCCCTCTGGCCCTCCCCCCTCTCATGTGCTCTCTCTCTTTCATTCTCTCTGTCTCAAATAAATAAATAAAATCTTAAAAAAAAAAAAACAACTTTATTATGTCATTGCCAATTATTAGGACATTTTTAAAAAAATATTTTATTTATTTATTTGACAGAGAGAGAGAGAGAGTGAGCGAGCGCACAAGCAGGGGGAGTGGGAGAGGGAGAAGCAGTCTCCCCAGTGAGCAGGGAGCCCGATGTGGGGCTCGATCCCAGGACCCCGGGATCATGACCTGAGCCGAAGGTAGATGCTTAACCATCTGAGCCACTCAGGCATCCCTGTTAGGACATCTTTGAATGAATAAGGGTGATGTGACATTGTTGGCCTTTGTCTAGAATCTAACTTGTCGCAGCCAGAAGGGCCTTGAGTATCCTCTGGTGGCCCGCCCTCTGGCTTCACAGATGGCAGCATCATGGTCTGTACGTCTTGACTCCTTGTCTTTTGTTCTTTCTACTTCATTCTCCTACTGATCTCAAAGTCCAAGGAACAACCATTGAAAAATTTATTGACTTAAATATGTTTTGTCCTTGATCATTGAAATTTTGATTAATCAATGATTCATTTGATCTTGGTATAAAATCAACTTTACTTTCCTCTAAGATACACTATTGTGTGTAGCTCGTTAATTTGGCACAGTTCATGGTGATTTCTTTGTTTAGCTAAAGGCCAAGTCTCTTTTCAGCTGCTCCACCCATTTGCACATGCATTTTTGGAAGCAGCCTGAGCAGCAAAGATTTTCGTAGTGCTTATAAAACAGAAATGTTTAATATACAGACTTATTTTAGGTCCGCTTGGCCTTTGTACGACTAACCATACAGATCTGTCAGCTCGGTTGCTTCCTTGTGCTCTCTTCGATAATACCATTTGGAAGTTGGTAAATAATGGTTCCTTTGGAGGTCATTAACTTTTTTTTTGCGGGGGGGGGGTGTTATTATAAAAGGCAGGCATTGACTTCTAAGCTTTTTGGAAAGTTGATATTTTAAAAACTCCGCACTCTTAAGAGTAGGCTTTATGAAAGCTTGTATATTTTTCCCTTGTAAATGAGAAAGGTAAGTAACTGCTTCCACAAATATATTAACTCTTATTCCTGTAATTAGATGGACTCAATTTCTTGGCCTCTCACTTTTCAAAGCTCTTTGTTTGTCTTAATGTATATTTTCTTTTTTACCTTGTTTTTTACCCAGTGCTGTTTGGGGCCTCTTACCTTTTTTTTAAATTTATTTAGGCCTCTTACCTTTCAATATGTAAAAGGTAAATGAAAGCAAGGTATAAGACATTGTAGAGGAGTCAACATTTTACCCTGGTTAGACTGTGATATTTGTAATAGATTTATATCTTGGGGAAAGAAAAAGGATTTCTTTTATACATTCTATAAAAGAAGTAAAATCATAAGTAAGTTCAAAATGAAGTGAAATATACTTTGGAAAATCCCGTAAGTCCCCCAGAACATATGGCCCGCTGGGTGAATGTACACGGCCCCATGTGGTAATCGTTAGGCCACTAGTTTGTGATCCACTGAGCCAGGTTCTGGGATGGCAGGCATTTTTGGCAGACATCTGGGTGTTTAGACCACTTTGCTTCCATGAGAGTTGCTAGTGTGGAGTGGGGATTGGGAAATCTGTGTGACCCTGCTTGTGTGCAGGCTTTACGCCATTTCTGTTTCTAGCGCAAACTCCTTGTCTTAATAGTAGTTAGTGGGCCTTCTCCTTTGGGGAAGTACTAAACGAGATAATGCTTGAGATGGCCTCTAATACCTGGTGCATTAGATCAGTGGATGCTCACTAAGTCTTTGATGGTCTTGATCCTGACCTAGCTTGATCCGTTCTAATGTCACACCATGTTTGAAAAGGTGTCCAGAGAAACCTGTCCACTGCCTCCTGTCTTCTCAAATTGGCATTCCTGGTGATGACCTTCTTTCTGAGAGCCTTCCCTCTCTCAACCCCTTATTACCTGACTTCAGAAGGTTCCTGAATTAAATCATGAATATTCAAGTTACCACAAGATGGCGTCAGATCATTTCAAGTAATGCCAGGTAGGGGGAGCCTCTGCACAGTAAATCTTTAATTTTAAAAAAGTTAGAATATATGCCTTTCACGTCATGGGATTTAGCTATTGTAAATAAACCTCTCATTTCTTCTCCCATTCTCATGTGGAAACATGAGGCTCGTGTCTATTCAACTCCCCAAAGTAGTTGGGTGGGAAAATGACTTGAATCATGCAGATGATTTTACTAAAGTGAATTGTTCAGGATCTCTTGTGTTTGGCTGAAACCTTCATTTTACTTCATTGTTATTTACAAGGGTGACCCTTAGGTATTTTACAGTGACCCCTCTCCACAATTTCCCATTTCCCTATTATCCCTGAGTCTGATGTGTTTATTTTTCTCCTGATATGTTTATTTTTTTGTTTGTTTCCCCAACTAATACGTAAACTCTGTAAGAGGCTACAGTTTTGTTTGTTTCTTTACTACATCCTCAGTGCCTTGAACCGTGCCTGGCATGGTAGGTACTCAAAAACCTCTTAAATGAAGAATGAATAGAGAATTTTCACTGTTGTTTCAGTCAGTGTCCTTTGGCTTAATAAGCAAATCTTAAAATTATGTAAAAATGTGAAGTTTCTGAGTTTATAGTCTTTAGGAATTTCACTGATAACTTGGTGAAGTAATCAAAACTTGAAAGCTTTTATCACTATCCTCCTCTGGTGATTATATTTCAAATCTCTTCCATAATTTAGTTCAGTAATCTTCCTACAACTTACAGTATATCTGTAATATTGAGTCAGGATGTATACAAAATGAGCAAACTAGGACTAGTGAAGGAAATAATTTCAGACTTTCATCTTACCTTAGTAAAGTGTTTATTCACGCACACAAACACACACAATTCAGGGGATCTGGGTGAGGCTGAGATATTTTCCTTGCTTCAAGGGTGCTCTGTAAGTGAGGCCCCTTGCCAAGAAGCAGAGCAGCTACATCTGACCCTCCCTAGTGGACATTATCTGAAAGTTAAACTTCAAGAAAGCAGTCATCATAATTTTGAGCATTTTTTTCTGGAGCAGAAATGAATGAATGAATGAATACTTAAAAATCCACCTTGTGATTAGTTCTCAAAATTGCAGTTGCCAGGATGGAAGTGTGAATGTCAGAGTTTTTGGCATGGAGCATGATGCGGTGTCGAGGCTGCTGATTACTGACCATCTGTGTTCTCTTCACAGATAGGTCCCCAAGCAAAGTGAAGTTTATTTTCCAAATTGACCCCTGAGGTCAGCGAGGTTCATCTCCCTAATCACTCATTCAGCAAAAATTTATTGAGTGCCTACTGCATGCCAAACACTGTGTTAGTGGTAGAGATAGAGCGACTGAAGTAGATCATATTCCTGTCCTCACAGAGCCTGTGAGTGTCCTTCAGTGTCTTTCGAGGCCACAGATACCTTTAATATGCGTGAAAGTAGTGGACCCTTTTCTCTGAAGATCAACCAGTTAGCCAACCTCTCTCTCTCTCTCTCTCTCACACACACACGTATACATACAGGTAGCTGGTGTGAGATGGGGAGACCCACACTCACTGAGTTGCATATACCACTTCCTGGGGTTCCAAAGACTTGAAGCTCAAGTTCACTGAGTGGTGGGCCCCTCTTCCCTTGCCCCTCAGCTTCTTCACTGCTTTCATCCCCCGTTGGTCCTTCATGATGTCTTGGATGGGACTTCCTGTAATTTCCTTTTCAGGTTTGGTCACATGATGAAGCAGTGTAAGCTTTTAGATAAAGAGCCCAAGGGGTGCTCAGCAGGCTTGGATTAGGGACTGCCTTGTCCTATGGGTTTGAGGAAGTCACTTCCACTCCCGAAGTCACTTTCACTCTTTGCATCTGAGAGATAGAAAGGACTGGATTTGGGTAATTCTGAGGAGATTTAAGGGTAAGTTAGGTAGGCAGGTTAAAAAGGCAATAGAGAATAGCTGTGGGTAAATTACAGTCTCGGTGCTCTTTAGCTGGGTGATTTTGAGCAAACTACTTAGTTTATCTGGGCCTTATTTTACACATGTGAAAGGGAAAAAGCAGCATATACCTCATGGTGTTAATTTGAGAATTGAACTGAAATAATGTATGTAAACTGCCAGGACAAAAATGGTAGCTTTTTTTCCAGCCTTGTTATATTCAAATTGTCTTTCAGGGGAATTAATAGATAAACGATTTATTGAGCCCCTGGAGTAGACTACTTCTGTAATTGTTCTCCCGTGATACCAGCCCAGCTGTCAGGCAGTGGTGTATGATCGTAGGGAAAGGTTCACTTTGCATTAGGCCTGGTTTAATTTCACGGCTCTCCCATGGACTAGCTGGGTGATCCTAGACTCTCTGATCTTTATTCAGTTTCCACTTCTGACAGATGAGACAATGATAATATGTGACCCAGTCACAGCAGAGAGGCTGTTTTGGGATTTGAACAAGATCATGTAAGTAAATAGAACGTGTAGCACAGGGCCTGGCACAGAGCACACTCTTCATTTATGTAAGACTGGTTCCATAATTAACCTAGTTTAACCTCACCCTCCCTTCTCCGCCCAGGGCTAGGTTGGATCTCAAGGTTTTCCCTGGATTTATACAGGTTCAGTTGATGATAGCCTCTCACTCATCTAGGCCCAAGTGGTAAAGTGAAGAGCCTTGATTGAAAACGGGCCTTAGAGGTTCCTTGGAAAATATGTGCTGTTCCTGCAAAAAAACTGTGGTTGCTGGGAGAGAATTCACTTTGGTAAAAGACAAATGGTAATTCTTCTTTATGTGTTTTCATTTAGTATCCCAACCCCATGGATAAAAATGTCATCTCTGTAAAAATTGTGGAGGAAAAAAGAGGTAAGTTCTCTGAATTATACCTCACTTCGGTGATGATCATTAAGTGATACTGATTTTCGTAAAGGTGTTGTGTGTGTCGCCTGGTGTATTTCTGTATTTGAGGTGACAGGAAAGAGTACCCAGCACTTACAGCAGCAGAGGGCTTGCTCAGTATGCTCTTGTCATTCTCTCAATTAATAACTGGTGACAGTAGTAACAGCTAACATTTCTGAGCACTTCGTATGTGCCAAGCACTCTCACTTTATTAGCTCATTTACTCTTTAGACTAATGTATGGTGTATGTATTATTATTACTCCCATTTAATGTATGAGGAAACCAAGGTACGGAGAGGTTAAATAAATTGCCCAAGGTCATATGGCTATATCCCTATCATATATTCATACATCATTTTATAGATGGCAAAATCGTTGTGATTAGTAGCATGTATATAAAATGTGACTATAGTGATTAGATTATGGAATCATAAGTATACTTGACAGTGTGGTTCCATATTGACCAGAGCAGGGGTTGATAAACTATGCTTGTCCTGCTTGATGTTGTGAATAAAGCTTTATTGGCATACAACCATGCCCACTTGTTTATATATTGTCTATGGCTTCTTCCTTGCAACGACAGCAGAGTTGAGTTGTTGTGACAAGACTGTCTGGCCCACAAGACCTAAAATATGTACCATCTGGCCCTTTACAGGAAGTGTTTACTCACCCCCGAATTAGAGTGTAGGAGTCTGCCCTGCTCGCTGTCATTTGCATGTCACTGTAAGCATTTCCACTGTCCTTGCTTGGGAACCGGGCCATGCAGGAGGCTCTAGTGATGGACGGAATCAGTGTATAAACCCTTGGAAACACCCAGGCCCACTTCTGACATGCTCTTGAGCCTTCCGAGAAAACATACGCCAGGCCACTGTTCATTACGTGACTCTGAAGTCTTCTCTGTGCTTGGTGAGCACCAAACTGTTTGCTTGTGAGGGTCTTTTCTTCATGTCCATAAGTCTACAAAAAATATTTTAAAAAACTTTTTTTTTTTCATGTATCTGCACTCAGTGTGGGAGAGATGTGTTATTTGGCATCAGAGAAATCTGATTTCAAGCCCTGATTATTACCTGCATGACCTAACTTCCTGAAGGCTCAGTTTCTTCCTTTATTAAATGGGAAAATAATAACCCTGCTTAGAAGATAATAATAATTAGAAGAAGAAAATAATAATAATCCTGCCTGTGAAGGTCAAATGAGAGAACAGTGTGCACATCCCAAAGTGGTATAGAAACATTAATTATAAATTCCACCATCGACGGGGGCGTCTTTGCCTGCAAGATTGGCTAGTCCATTTTAAGTATGTGTGCCACAAACCTTGGATGGGATGGCTAAAGGAATGCCGGTGGCAAGGAGATGAGCCCACTTCTCACCCTGGCAGTGGCTTCTGGGCAGTCTGGGTGTTTGCACCAGCCTTCAAGGCTACTCTAGCCAGAGTTAGAGAAACCCTATAGGAGCTTGGCTGAGTCACACTAATTTACAGGGCAAAGGACAGCACCTCAAAGGTTATTTTTTTTTTTTCTCTGACCCGGTCTCCCTGTTTCTTAATTCACATTTATTTTGTGTTTTTTTTACATTATTGGTGCTATTCTGTCTCCAAAACAGAGTAGTGCCAGTCACAGGGAAGCTGCTTCCCTGTGAGTAAAGAGTATGGCTAATATAATTAATTATAGATTTAAATTTTGTAGCCACAAGTCTGTGCTTGAAAACATGGTTGGTGCAGAAAGTGGCAGAATCGATTCTCCATTTTTTTGTTAAAACATCCTTTTTATTGGAGTTGAACAGAGGGCTCATTGGCCCTTGTCATTGGAGTGATGACATTGATTGTCCAGAGCAGTGAATGGTTTGTGATTCTTTATCCTTGATTTTAGAATGTGCAGTGTGAGTTAGCTGTCTTACCCTTATTCCTTGATCACAGATGAGTGTATTTGGAAAGATTTAGCCCAGAAAAGTGGTCAGGGACACTGAGTTTTGAGTTAAACATTTTTCTCTAGGAATTCTACATATATAAAATTGACATCGACATGAAAAGTTTTATTGACATAGGACAAGAATACATTTCCTTAAAAATTTTTTGAGTGTAAAAATTTTCTGTTTCTAGATGTCTCAACAGGGATCATCTATAGAAAGAGGATTGCAGTCTGTCAGAATGTGGTTCCAGAAATTTTAAGGAAGGTAAATTCATTTTAAAATTTAATCAGATTTGGGTGATTTTCATGTAGTCCTGGAAAGAGACAGCATTTTCTGATGTACAGGAGTGTTAGAACTTTCCCAGTTGTACCTCATAGCCCCTCAGAGGGTGAAAGCACTCGCATATCTAACCTCAGTTTTGGCAGATGCCACCAGAGATAGTTTTTTTCCTGTCTATTTCTGCTTCTCTTTTGTGGAGGGCTCTTAGTGGACATTGAGATGGTCTATAATTATTGTAAAGATACCTTGGACATTTTGCATGAAGTGACCAGCTCTTCTCATCTGTCCATGGATAGATATGACTCTTAGATAAGAAAGATCAGAAATGGGCAGATGGTAAATATTTAGTCTCATCTTTAGAAAGGAAGATAAAAGCTTCAGTTTCTATTTCACTTTCAGAGAGTATAGTTATTTCAGGGAGTATAATGTTCTCAGTGTTCTCTGTAAGTCTTTTGTGTGTGTTTCTGTAGATGGTGGGGATGATGAAATCTTCATGATATCAAATTGTTTTCTCTCTTTGAAATTCTTAAGCACTCTGGTGATTGTTGGCAAAGGTAAGTGGGAAGTTTTAATAACATTGCTTAAATCATAGTGGGATTATTGACAACAGTCCTTTTAGAATCATTAGGACATAAGAGGAGAGCATCTTGATGTGCACTTCTTACGATGTCTCAGATGGTTGTTTCAACCTGGAAGTGATTCTGTTTGTGATGGAGAAGCCAATTAGCTTGCAGTTTACACTGCTGTGCTGTTTGCTGTATGTAGAAAAAATGGTTGGCTTCTGTCACTTCCTTGTCATGCATTAAGACGGTCACATTCTTTGAGGGAAAGAAGGCTGATGTGACAATGGAAAAGAACTTTTTTATTTTCCACATGTGTTGCCCTTGTGTGCAGCGAATTATCATTGGCTTTTTCTACAGGCTGTATACCCTGCTTTTGCCCTATATACATGCTTTGAATCTATTATTTAAAAAGGCATTCAACTTTGTCTTGTATCTCAATTCTTAAATAATTTAAGGACACCTCTGACTTGTACAGTGCTGCCTTTGTAGTTTCCCATGTCTCCTCCGCCTTGGAAACCATACATTTTGAGGTATTGGACAGAGTTTAAAATGAAGAAAATATTTTATCTGATATTATCCTGCATGCGAGCCCATAAGTGGGCCCAATTAGAATCCATCAATTTAAGAAGGCCATAACCAGCCCTAGAGGAGACAAGAAGGAGGTTGATAATTTGCTTAGTGTTTAGCAGTTAGGGAAATCAGGCCAGGGACTGTACAGGCTGCATAAATCCTGGGCCATTTGCATGTCCTCACCAGCATTTAGTAAGGTCATAGTGTGTTTGATGATCAAGGACTCACAGCCATTGGTGTGCCTTCCTTTCTATATGAGCATCACTTGTCCTCTTAATTATCCAAGACTAAAGGCAACTCTGGACTTAGTCTTTATGTAGCTCGCTCTTCCTAAATTGAGAAAGCTATCCACTCTCTGTTGGACAGGTAAGCATTTTAAAGGTACCTAGTATCCAGTTGGAAGAGGAATCATGGCTCAATCCTCAGGAAAGAAACATGGCTATACGGAGTCACTGCCTTACGTGGACACAATATGCATCCATGAAGGAAGAGTCTGTCTTCCGGGAAAGTATGGAAAATCCAAATTGGTAAGATCAGCTGTGTGTGTGTGTGTTTGTGTGTGTGTGTGTAGGTTGGGTGCAGGGATACACAAATGACTGCATATATTAAAAAGCTATAATTCCATATTCATAATGTCTTTTTATAACTCACATAAAGTACACATTTTAATTTTTTTATTTTAGAGTGAGAGAGAGAGTGCACATGTGGGCAAGTGGGGGGGAAGGGCAGAAGGAAAGGGAGAGAGAGAATCTTAAGCAGGCTCTATGCCTCGCGCGTGGGCTCAATCTCACGACCCTGAGATCATGACCTGAGCTGAAATCAAGAGCTGGACGCTTAACCGACTGAGCCACCCAGGTGCCCCACATTATTAATTTTTAATCCTATAAGTAGTTAATGAATAGACTTCCCTTTGGGGGAAAAATAACAGAGCTCAACTCTGTTCTGATCACCCTCTCCAGTCTTGGTGCCTTTTTGCTCTCTCCAGAAGCAGTGAATGTTATCGATGTGCTGAGGATTCTTCCAGACTTTTAAGAGATACCATTAGGTATTTACATGTGTATTCACAGAGTCTATATGGCATGGTTTTGTTTCTTTTCACATACATGCTTTCATTCTGTGTCAGTCATTGTGTACTTACCTTTTTTTCTTAATAGAAGTTTATTTAACATATATAAAACCTAGCTTATTCCTTTCTACTGTCGCATGGTATTCAATCCTATGATTATACTACATCTGTTTAGCTTTTTTTTTTTTTAAAGATTTTATTTATTTGGAAGAGAGAAAGTGCACGCGTGTGCAAGTGCATGAGCTGGGGGAGGGACAGAGAGAGAAGCAGACTCCCCGCTGAGCAGGAGCCTGATGCGGGACTTGATTCCAGAATCCTGGAATCATGACCTGAGCCCAAGGCAGACACTTAACTGACTGAGCCACCCAGGTGCCCCTGTTTAGCTTTTTTTTGGTAGATGTTCAGAAAGTTTCCAGTTTATCTTTATTACAAACAGTAGTATAGTATTTGTGAACCCTATGATCCTTACATATGCAATATATGAATGTTTCTCTAAAGGAGAAGTTTTAATAGGTTTATTGAGTATATTAATTTCTTACAGCAGAATTCTTAATGTACGGTTTTAGGAGTTTTGACATAGTTGCGTAAACACTGCCACTATCAAGCTATAGAACATTTAAAAGGAAGACTTTAAAAAGCTATATGCTGGGGCGCCTGGGTGGCTCAGTCGTTAAGCGTCTGCCTTCGGCTCAGGTCATGGTCCCAGGGTCCTGGGATCGAGCCCCGCATCGGGCTCCTGCTCCGCAGGAAGCCTGCTTCTCCCTCTCCCACTCCCTCTGCTTGTGTTCCCTCTTTCGCTGTGTCTCTCTCTGTCAAATAAATAAATAAAATCTTTAAAAAAAAAAAGCTATATGCCAAGACTATTCAATGAAGAAAGAATATTCTTTTCAACAAATGGTGCTGTCACAACTGGATATCTACAAACAGAAGAATGACGTTAGACCCCTACCTCATACCAAATACAAAATTAATTGAAGATGCATCAAAGACCTAGATGAGTTAAGACCTATAAAACTTCTTTTTTTAAAGAGATTTTACTTATTTATTTGTGTGAGAGAGAGAGAGAAAGATGACAAGCAGGGGGGAAGGGTAGAGGGAAAAGCAGACTCCCCAGTGAGCAGGGAGCCTGATGCGTGGCTCAATCCCAGGACCCTGGGATCATGACCTGAGCTGAGGGCAGATGCTTAATCAACTGAGCCACCCAGGCACCCCAAGACCTATAAAACTTTTAGGAGAAAACAGGTAAAATCTTTTCGATCCTGGATTAGGTAGTGATTTCTTAGATATGACACCAAAAGCCCAAGCAACAAAAGACAGAATAGGTGAAATTGGTTTCATCAAAATTGAAAACTTTTCTGCTTCAGGGACACTGTCAGGAAGGTCAAAAGACAATGCAGAGAATGGGAGAGAATACTTGTAAACCATATATCTGCTTATATGTATATCCATAATATGTGAGAGTGTACACTTATTTTGATGAGTCCTGAATAATGTATAGAATTATTGAACCCATATTGTACATGGAAACTAACATAACACTGCATGTTAATTATACTTGAATTTTAAAAAAAAAGCCTAATTAAAACATGGGCAAAAGATTTGACTAGATATTTCTCCAAAAAAAGATGGGTAGCTGGTCATTAAGTGCGTGAAAAGATGCTCAGCATCATTCTACATCCAGAAGTGCAAATCAGAATCACAATGAGATACCAGTTCAAACCTGCCTAGGATGGTTATAGTAAAAAAGATACACGGTATCAAGTGTTGGAAAGGGTGGGGAGCAATGGGAACGCTTACACACCACTGATGGCAATGTGAATGGTGCAGCTGCTATGCAAACCAGGTTTTCAGGGCCTCAGAAAGTTAAACATAGAGTTATACCTCTGGACCCAGCAGTGTATACTATATTGAACACATACGTGTTTTGTGAAAACACAGAAACTTGTACAGGAATGTTTATAGCACTGTTGTTCATAATAGGAAGAATGTGGAAACCAAATGTCTGTCTACTGATGAATATATAACCAAATGTGGTATACTTATAAATGGAGTATTATTCAGCCATAAGAATGAAGGACATGTGCTATAATGTGGGGGAAGCTTGACAACAGTATGCTACTCGGAAGAAGCCAGTTACAAAAGGCCACATAGCGTATGAATCAATTTATTTGAAATGTGCAGAATTGATATATCCATAAGGACGGAAAATAGATTAGTGGTTGCCATGGGCAAGGAGGGAAAGAGGGGGCAGTGACTGCTAATGGGCATGGAGTTTCTTTTTGGGGTGGTGAAAATGTTCGGGAACTCAGTTGATGGTTTCCCAACTCTGAATATAGCAAAAACATTGAGTTGTACACCTTAAAAGAGTTCATTTCCCTAAGCCAGCAGTTCCTATTAACATACTTTAAAATTTTTTTTTGTCAATTTAATGGGTGAGAAACGATAAATTCCTTTTGAGATAGGCTTAAAAACAAAAGCAAAATATAACAAGCATTAAGTGTTAATAGTGATTACTGCGATGAGCTCTGATTTTAGAGGATAATGTACTGTTTTTCGTTTTTCTGTATGATTTGAATCTTTTATTCACTTGTCATTTTAATGGAAATAGTAAGACTCTCAAGCTCAAATAACTAAAACCCCCAAATTTAAAAATCTGTTCTGGAGCCCCATCACTTATACGAATCGTTACTGCTCCCCATAATTTCGGTCCTATGATGGTAATTCTCAGGTGCTCCAGCCACCCACCCAAGGAGTGTGAAAGCCACGTCTTATTAGCCTCTGAGCCGGTTTGTCTGGAACCACCTACTAGGTGCTTTTCCTCAGCCTCTCCCATGGCGGGAGCTTCACACGGAACATGCGTGTTTGGGATATTTGTACGTAGAAGTAGTAAAATGACAGAATTGTCTGATTTTATACAGAAAACACAAAAGTCTTTTTCATCCACCTTGTTTTAGCCTCAGTTTTCTCAGAGATCAGGGCTATTTGGCTAGTCTGAACTGGACCTTTATCAGTGAAATATAAAGTGATAATTGGCCCTGAGAATCCAAGGAAAACATCCTTCAGGACCTTTTCCCTTTGTGTCTTTTTTAAAAATTATTTTTCCAATACCTTGATTCTGGAAAATATGATACATGTGTCTTATAAAAAATATTAAACAGTTTTGGGGGAAAAAGACAAGTTGTCATTGCCTAGAGATAGTGTCTGTTTACATAATTTTCTTAGTTCATTCCTAATTGGCATTTAGATTGTTTCTGTAATTTTTTGCTGTTACAAATAACGCTGTGATGAAATCCCTATTATTACGTATTTCTGTAGTTTTTCAATAACCTTTTAAGGTAGATGGAGCGAGTTGGATTTCTGGGTCAAATGTTATATGCATTTTATATTTTGATACATATTATCAGATTGTTCTATAAAAAGGTTTGACCAATTACACTTTTTTTTCTTTCTTTGATTTGTTATGTTCTTGCCCTCTCTCAAACACTCTCCTTTTAGGTTTTTGGTATATTGGGCCAATATTTATTGGTGCCTCCCATATCAAGGTCAAAGCTAGATCCTTCCCCTGCAGTGTTTTAAAGCTCAGGTTAAATAACTTACCCAGAGTGAGAGGAGGTTGCTGAGCCAGGGTGTGAGTCCAGGTGTCTTGGACGTCACCTTGAGCAAAGTGGTGAGGTAGGAATATGGACATGGATAAAGGGTGGATTTATGTTAAGCTGTAGAGTGCTTTGGATCCCAGGTTATGGTGGAGAGGTCTTGTCCTTTCAGCAGTCAGCAGCCGCATGAAGGTTTCTGCGCGGGGGATAATGTGCTGAAAGCTATGGTCCAGGCTCTAGGAAACTTGTTTTCTTAGCTCTTGACACGGATTTAAGCAAGGCATTTTAGGCAGACATTCTAAATGAGTGGGTAATCTTGGGGGGACATCAAAGACAGGACATTATTTCTTTCCCCTCCTTTGCCAGGGAATGTGACAACGATGACTAGCCACTGTACTCAGAAGGTGAAATATGGACAACCCTCCCCCCATTTTTTTTAAAGAGAAAAAGCTGTCACAGCTGTTTAGTCTAAAATTAGACCCTCAAGCTGTATGTTGGTTAGCAGGTGTAGGTATGTGATGGGAAACCAGATGTCATTTTGTCCCTCTGCATGGCCTATCGGCTCAGTTCAGAGATGGACTCCAAAAGGGTTCCTTAGGATCTGACTAAACCTTGATCTGTGTTTTTTACCTAGATCCAACTTGGGCTCACCACTGATGTCTCTGCACTGTGGCACCTTCTTGGGCAAGAGTTATGTTATAATTTCACATTCTCTCAAGCATACCAGCTCTGAGGCTGTAAGCTCCTCAATTAGACAATCATGGTTTCTGCTTTCTGAAATCTTACATTCCAAGATAAATTTATTAATTTCTTACTATTTTGTGTTTGCTCCTATTTTTCCCAGGATCCTGGGATCATGACCTGAGCC